TCAAGAGGGCAGACAATGTAAAGAACGGGCAACACTGGCAGGGAAAGCAGTGGCAGTAGGTGAATGAGTGCAAAGAGGGGGAAGTGGATGAACAGGAGATGAGGTGCAAAGAGGAAGAGGAGGCAGAGCAAGAGAGGGAGTTCAACGATAAGGCAGAAGGAACCAGAGATGAGCGGATAAGGAGAGGAAGTCCAGGATCTGCAGAGGAGGTAGAGGGGGAAGCACGAGGGCAAGAAAAGAGGAAGAGTAGGAAGTAGTTCTCCTAAAGACAGTGAGAGGAAACAGAGTGATTACAGGGGAGAGGAGAGGAGAGGAGAGGAGAGGAGAGGAGAGGAAAGGAAAGGAAAGGAAAGGAAAGGAAAGGAAAGGAATTTCCAAGAAGACAAAGAGAGGTACAAAAAGAAAATGAACACTATAGATCAGGTGAACAAGGAGGTAAAATGAGGAAAGGAAATAATGATGAGGGATCAGTGAGGCCTGTCCAACACAAGAGCAAATGCATCAGAGATGCATCATGGTTGAACGGAGACAGACCCTTGGTTGCCAAATGAGGGAGGAGGGGGTCGAGCTAGCTGGAGATAGGCCGGCTAGATGGGATTTGGGCAAACGTGATTGCCAGGTACAGAGCCAAACTAGGCTTTAGGAAGGTGTCCAAAGTACAGATACTGTGTATGACTGGAGGTGGATTTGGATTTCTGGCCCGAGAGACCGGGGTTAATGCTCAGATCAGGAGACTATAGACCTGTAGGATGGCCATTAACTCAGGGTTGGTGTTGGAAGCTGAAGCCAGGGGAGCGTGTGCTCCTCCACAGAGAAGTGAACGGAAAAACATGTCAATGGAACACAAGGAGGGAGCCTGTGAATAAACAGAGCCGGTGACTCACCCTTTCTGGGATGGGATAGATGACTGTGGGCGGGGGTGTGGGGTACCAAACTGCCTTCACTACCCCTCTAAACACACCAATGTAGGCATTCATGCGTGTACCCACAGTCCAACTCATGTCGCACTCAGTTGACTAGACCAGGACAAGCTGTCTATTGTCCAAATCTCCCACCTAAAGCTGTAGCTCCTAGCAGGGCAGGAGTTTTGTGTTTAGGGGATTTTGAGGATTGCTGAATATGTGTGTGTGTGTGTGTGTGTGTGTGTGTGTGTGTGTGTGTGTGTGTGTGTGTGTGTGTGTGTGTGTGTGTGTGTGTGTGTGTGTGTGTGTGTGTGTGACTTTTCTAACAAGGCTTGAGAAAGATCAGGTTCTGAGTGTTTTTTTTGTTTGTGGAAATGAAGGTACTTTTCTGTTTTTTTCTTCTCTTCGAAAAAGTGAACATTTAAAGTCAATGATGAATAATAAAACACGGCTCTGGACACGACCACCGATTCCCACTGGGCTACACTCGACAGGAACACATCGGACAGGGATTGCATTAATTCTTAACAAAGATCTAAAACGTATACTTTAATTCATCCCTGTGGGGAAATTCATGCTCTGCATTTGACCTGTCAATAACATTTAGGAGTAGTGGGGGCAGCTATAATTGACTCCAACTGAGTCCAATTGCAGGAGCATCCCAATACCTATCTTTCATTTCTTTTGGGATGGAGGGGAACTGGAGCACCAAGAGGAAACACAGGGAGAACATGCAAACTCCACACACAGGTGTACTTAAATTACAGTAGACCTCACCCATTCCTAATAGACAAGCCAGGGAAATGCAAATAAGGCAAATAATAACTTTACACTATCAACCTTAATGCTTAAATACACATGTGGGTTATTGGTTAAATCAGCTTATTATTGATTATCCCTTTAACATTCAGTTTCGTTTAATTTTCTTACATATCTTTCGAGTTGGTAAAATCATCTTATTTTGTGTATACACTTCCATCATCTTGTTCCAGCTCTTCATTTCAAAGTGCCCAGTGCGCCTTTGGTTATAATGTCCAATAATCACCAATTAAGTCTCTGAGGAAGACACCTGATGCTTAAGCTGCCCCACATAGTACTGCATCATCCTGAGCTTTATTATGCAGTCAAATGCCATATTTGCTTTTTACATCCGGCTTCTCAGTAATTGTATGAAAGATGGTCAGGTAGCTGGTTTAAGCATGTGTTGTAAATTGTTCTTATTAGTCATGGATAACTGCTTCACTGGTTTTTCTCATTGTTTGTCATTGTTTTTAAGACGTGTAATGGCTCTTTCGTGCATATTTTCAAACTAATCCACAAAAACACGTTAAAATATGTCCCATTCTAAATTTAGAAGCACCTTAGCCCTTGCTGGTTCAGTCCTGGTGACCTATGAGAAGCATTCCAGCACCAGTGTCTCTTCGTGGCATGCCTGTTATTCGATTTCTAACAGTGTTCTGGTCCCATGTGATTTTAATGTACTACAGAATGTGAAACTATGCACTTGATTTTGACAGCGACGAAGCAACCTACTGAGTTGAGTCACAGAGCTAACTGGCTTGGCTGATAAAGGTTTGTCTTAATCTTTATCTGGACATTTTGTGGTGACTTTTTTATCAGTTGCAAACAATGTAAGGAAGGAAAATGTTTTAAATTACAGCTCTGGAAGGGTTCGATTGAATTTGAAAAAGACAAACATGAGAGCATCAAGACTTTCAGCAACAACCATCTTACATTATACTGGACATATATAGTTTTGGTTTGTAAGAGAAAACACAAAAAAGCGGAACAGTGAAGCCACAAGTGAACTGGAAAGGCAGAAACATGCAGTTGCAGTTTAGATTTTGATGAAAGTTATCAACACCTTGAACATGTTCCAACCACATCTGTTCACATCATATGGAAACACAGTTTGAAGTGTGCCACAGTACAGCTACTGATCCCACCTTCGGTGCAGTGCATCAAAAAAATGCTGTGGGTATCCTGCATCAGATGCACAGCACTCACTAAATGAAACCAAGTACATGACAGAGAAACACTCATGTGAAGGGAGAAAACAAAGACTGTTGTGCACAAATAACAGATTAGCAGAGTGGGTAAGCTGGCTGGAGAGACCTACCAGTATTTCCTGGAAGATTTGCAGTTGTGGGGAGTTTTACAAAGCTGCTCTGAATAGGCTGTGGAAATCTGCTAATCTAATCACCTGCCAGCCTAACTGGCAAATAAAAACACATGGCCCGCTACCACCTGAATGTAGAATTAACTTATCTTCTGCATGGGTTTTCTACTGTATGTGTATATAGCCTAAAATCATCATGGTGCAGGTTTGGTGGCTGTATAAAGCTGAGTGAATTAGTGCTGGCAGTTTTCAAATAAAAACCATATTTCCCATAACACTCATTGCTTCCTGTTGCAAAGAGGATGTCACTACTTCACCTACCTACCCAACCCTGCACATGTTTGTTTTGAAGTTTTGTCTTTTAGTTTAATGAAGAAGACAAATCTGTTTGAAGATATTATTCTCACGTGTCTTTTACCTACTTCCTCCTGAGAAATTAAGTGTTGTGTTTTACACCACAAAGCAATGTAAAATACAGTGGAGAGGTTGCAAATCTTTTGAATGTTATCCCTTTTCACTTTTGGTAATTGCACTAATATTTAAAAAATTAATTGTGACCATTGTTCAATAAAGTTACAATTCTGAGAGCCACATTTTAAATACTGTGGTATCACTTTGAGTTGTCAAAAATGTGATGCTGGTGCATCTGTGTAAAAACACAGTGAATACAGGTGAAAGAAGAAAAGCCCAAGCTGTAGAGGACTTAGTGTCCAGCTTAGAGTCAGAAAAAAACATTCTGCTCACACACACACAAAACCAAAAGCCAAGGCATTATCAAAGATGTTTGGGCAGGTATGTTTGGGCCTGATTTATGGCCTCGTACATTAGAAAGATTTAAGGCAATCCTGGGCAATACAAACCTACAACTGAAAGGTGATCAACTAAAGAAAAGAAAGAAAGAAAGAAAGAAAGAAAGAAAGAAAGAAAGAAAGAAAGAAAGAAAGAAAGAAAGAAAGAAAGAAAGAAAGAATCAATGAAGCGCTCAGCAAAGAGACTGAAGTTCGTCGACTGTATTCTTTTGGCATGAAATGCAAAACTTCTGAAGTTGCGAGAGGAGAAGTGAAAGGGACTTTTGACATGTTAAAAGGTAGAAAGGTCACAGACATTGAGGACTTTTCCTCCAGACAGATAGAAGCATTGTGCATATTATACATTTTATTTTATATGCTGATCACACCTGATCTGCACTAGGATATTCCTCAAGACTATTCACTGACTGGCTTCACACATACAGCCTGTATGACTGGTTGAAAATAAAGTGAAAGTGCTCCTCAACAAGTGGATCTGTTTGTTTCCCTGCATGTTGAGACATGCTTGCTTTTTTCTTCTTCTCACTAATAAGGTTAAATGAAATAACATCACATTTCAGGGGTATAGTACTGCAATCATTGAGCTGGATTTCCTCTGTTTAACTGCTGTTTCATGTGTAGCATACGTTCTGCCCATGGGTGACTGTGCCCCTGCCTCAAACACTAAGCCCCTCAAACATCTCTCTGCTAGTCTGTTGTGTTAGATGTGGCATAACAAAGCCTAATTGAACACAGTGTTCTTTTCCAACTGTGTGAGGGAAAAATGCTAATTGCTATAATTAGAGCAAAGCAAAAATGTGACATTTTGTACATTTCCTCAGAGTCTGTCACAGCTCTCTGTTCAAACACTTTGTCTGCTTGCATGTTGAAACCCTTTCATTTACCTATGAGAACAGTGTAGTGTAAACAGAGGTTTCTGTGGGAGACAGGGACACAGACAGAGGGAGTGAAAGAGAGAGAAATGCACAAATTGAAGTGGTCATCTGACAAACAACTTCAAAACAGATATGACACATGTGGCTTGAAGGCCTTGCACAGAAACAGCTTTCCACCTGGAGAAAGCATATGCCCAGTTTTACAGGACACGACACCCTCTCTGGTCTGCACACACACACACACACACACACACACACACACACACACACACACACACACACACACGTTTCCTACCTTGGTGTCAACAATGGAGCAGGCGATTTGTTTCACATAGGCCAGGTCAGCAGTTTGGGGCATCAGGACAGATTCTCTGGTCAGGCCAATCTGGATGATGAAGGACACCCCTGCTGGAGTGGGAGGCACTGAGGGCATCACAGCCCCGCCAGGACCCTGCACCGGTATCAGGTCCATCACAGGAAATCCACCCTGAGCGGGCATAGAGGGCATGGATATGGGGGTCTGCTGTATCACAGCTGAGCCCGGTGGTGAGGAGCCCACGGGAGGAAAGAAGACCTGGGCCATGGCCCCTGAGGACATACAAGGGCTAGCGTTAGCCATACAGAGTCCTGTCTGCTGGCTGCCAGAAGCTCTCAACATACACACTCACAAACACACGCCCAGGTGAGGTCTAGAGTTCTCTAAAAACCCACTCTCATTCAAACTGTCTCAGCGGAGGAGAGAGGGACACACACAAGAGTCCCAGTTCCTCTGTGTCCTGTGTCCACCCCCTCCCAGTGGATCAAGGAAGAAATCCTTATCCAGGAAGCGGCGCTTTTTCCTCCTTTCTGCCTCTTCTGTCACGCTCTCTCGTCGTCAGACTTCTTTTATTGTCCAGGCATGACAAGCATGAGCAATATGTGTACGAGACTCATGAAAGAAAGATACTCTGAGGGAGAAAACCGCCCCCCTGCTGCCTTTCCTCCTCCACCTTCTCAACTCCTTCACCTCCCTTGTCCAAAAGAAGTTGCTCTGCAGAGGAGAAAGTCCAAAGTTGATTGTGAAACTCCCGGCCATGGGAGAGAAAAAACAAAAACAATGCCAAACTTTGTTGTGCTCTTACCCCAGCTAAGTTACAAAATGGCCTCCTTAAACAGGAAACTGTGAGAAAGAAGGAGAACAAGAGACAGCACTCCTTTTACGAGTCTTGCCCTGTTTCAGTTTCAGCCCCTGTTCAGCGTTTTTTGTGAAAAAGCAGAGAGAGAGAGATCTGTCGGAGGGTACCTCCCTCTCCCCCTCCCTCCTGCCCTCTCATCTATGATCTTGCCACAGCCAAGGAGGAAGTGAAATGACTGACACAGCCTGAAACCAATAGGCTCTCAGAAAGTCCCGCCCCTTTGACTCCCTACTCCCAAACTTCCCCCTCCTCCCTTTCCTCTTTCTCACTCCCTTCCTTGGTTTGGGGTTATTCGACTTGTTTGCTCCCTCCTTGAGTCAAGGCCAGTAAAGATCCTCTTACACTGCCTGAGGGGGCAGCTCCACGCTCCAAAACCCTCCCATCTCTTCCTCATCTTCCCTCTTACTGCTTCAGCCTCTTTCTAGTCCCTCTGTGAAACTATTTCCTGCCTTGTTTTTAATCTGTGACACCTTATCTCTTTGAATTTTTAACTGACACAACTCTCCCATACTGCAGAGTAAGACCACTCCTATTGCTGAGATGTTTTTTATGCAAAGCTGACAGAAGATTTCAGTAAAATAGGGAACTGTTGTGGCAAGTTACTAGTACTTTGCATACAGCAGAATATACAGCATGCTTAGAAATCAGGCTAGGTATCACCACCGCTTGTCTCATCTCAAATAGAAAGCATGCAAAAATACTGACTTTCTATCTTTGGCCATGAAAGCCGCCATGGATGGTAATATTGAAACTCACTAACCACATGAAGTTCTTCCTCTTCAGCTTATCTCCTTCCTTGGACCGTTATATAGTGGTTCTCTCTGTGAAGCACTCTCACAATTATCAATTCATTAAAACAAATTAACCACAGATAACCGCACTCAGCTGTATTAGTGATATGAAAAGAGACTGATGGCTCAGCAACTGCAAACAAAACGTTTGCTGGGATTCTGCTTTCCACCACAAGAGGGCAGTGTTTGATATAGTTGGATATAGTAGAGATGTGGCCATAGAGCTGCTTTGTTGTCTATTTCACCTGGAGATTTGATGTTAATAGTGCCAAGATAATGATCTTTAAAGTTTTAAAAGTTTAACTCATCCATGATCTGAAAATATAGAATATTCTGATCTGAAGATTTTATAATGTTGTGGTTATCTTCTGTGGAGAATTAAGTGCAGAGCCAGCGGTGGGACAGGGCAACTGAAGCTGGTGGGTTATATACGTTAGTTTATAGTGTTTTAGTAGTTGGCTGGTTGACACAGGGCCTGATGCCATGGGTCAGACAAAAAAGACAAATAAGAGTTTCTTTATATCTTATATAAAGACAGACGGTCAAAATTGTCTGATTTAGGAGTTTCAGCTGCATGTATCAGTAGTATTCTATGAGGGTTCTTCTACTGTGTATTTTCATACATGTAACAGATGACATTTCTTAACTTATGGTAGTATTTTGTTTGTTTGTTACCCCTGGGGAAGCAAGAAAGACAACACAAAACAGAACTCTCAATTCACTGTACAAAATCTTCATTTTTTGTTTTTTCTTCCTTAATGACATACAACAGGGAACCCGTAAACAAAAAGAGAAAGTCATTTGATACAAGCTAGAATGCAGTTCAAAAATATATAATAAAACAAAATTAATAAAAAGCAGGTCTCTTATCCCTTGTAGTTAGAGGAAATTGTTTGAATACAGCTTAATATGATGTACAAAATATCACACAGTGATAAATTGCTAATAAAAAAATAAAAACACAAAGAAATGAGAGTCCTTTACCTTGGCCTCTGACTGGTAACAGATTTTTTTTTTTTTTAAACTTATTTTTTTTAATTTTTCATGTTTTTTAATTGTTTTTGCTTTTTTACAAGTTATACATTGCCATTATCAATCACAAGCAAGTTCTATGCCTAGCAAGGAAGAATGATTCACTTATGATACTACAGTATTCTTACATCTTAATAATCATATTCATAATCAAAGAAAAGAAATGCAAGAAAGAAAACAAGGAAATGATGGACATTTACAGCACATAATGGCATCTCTAGTCATCATTTACAACCTCTGTTTTGATTTCTTTTTCTTTTTTGATGTGTCATACTGATTTGTCTTTTATTCTCAGAGAGGGGACACAGTAGCTCAGAGTGAAAACAAACAGAAAAAAAAACATCAGTAACTCTCACTATCAAAACACTGTGACCCACAGCAGGTTCCACCTTTGTAGTATTTACTCCAGATTGTATTAGAAATACCTTCAAAACATTATCCCTGCACCCTGTCTGTCTATTCACAGCGTCCACTATTAGATGTAGTGCAACGTGGAGCCAAACAGTATCCCAATGTGATTTCAGGACGTTGTGCCCAGCAGCAGTGCAATCGTGTAGTTGCACCTGGTTGTTCTCTTTGACAAGACTCATGTCAAAGAAAAGATGTACAACGGGATAACATGCTGTCTGATTTCAGACAACAGTCCACCACCCTGTTTGAGAAAAAAAAAAAAAAAATCTGAACTATAAATGCTAGTGTCCCCAGTGATGAGGAGAGGAGTGTTTACCTCTAGGCTACTTTCAACTTTTAGATCTGACGTCCGACCCCTAGTGTGACCCTGTACTCTTGAAGAGGGGGAGGAGGAGGAGGAGGAGGAAGATGAGGAAGAGGAGGGTTGCCCCTTTGACAACTGATTTGACACCAGATTTTTTTTATCAGTCTTCTTGAGGTAATAGAATAACATTACCGGTCAAGTTATTTGAAATCAGGTCAGCTGTTAGGGGGCAACTTTCACCTAAAGCAAACAAACATGTGTCCTGCAGTTATCAGTGTAAACACAGGACACAGATACGTAGATGTGAGGTGTCTCAAAGGAACAATGTTTCCACCTAAGACAAATGTTCTCTGGGTTATTCTCAAAATTGCAGAACCTTAACAGATCAGACAGATCAGGTGCTGAATCATGTTACTTACACCCACACATCTTGAATAAATACTTTCCTTTTATCTTTCTGACAAAAGTGGTTGAATTTAAAATGGACTTTCTTCTTCTTTTTTTTTTTTCTTTTTTTTTTTTTTTTAACTTTTTTAACCCCTGGAGTTATTTCTTCTAGCATGTCTCTTCAGAAAGAGGAGACCAGCTTCACGTCATCAGCTCTCTGGGTAATGTGCTACTGTGCAACTGATGCACGTCAAACAAGAAGAGGGAACTTCAACACACAACTGAAGGTGAAGTTTTTTTTTTTTTTTCCAAAGCATGGTTAAATACACGCCGACCAACGGGCAACCAACTTCAAGGTGAACTTAAACAGATGATCTGAACAGCTCTCATCTGAGGAAACCATTTCAGCCCATGTGGTCTTCACTGTAATATCATTATCACCAGCTCCACACACTCCTCAGGCATTATTCACATCCCTCTGAGAAACATTACCAGCGACTGTTCATTCTGAAATGTGACCAGAGTTAATGAAATGATCCAACAATGAAATGTCATTGAAAAAGTTGATTCACTCGATGTACATCTATACACACACACACACACACACACAGTCTCTCTTTTTCACACATACACATACACACACACACACAAAACAGGTCCCTGATTCTGACTCAAGACTGACGAGGTCTTTCATAGCACCGTGATTTAACTAGTGCATTTACAAACGCGCACACACACACACACACTCTTCTGTACAGTAAAAAAAAAAGAAAAGAAAAAGAAAAGCACCAAATGACACCACGTGTGTCATTTGTTGAGCGCATACAAACTGGCCTCACACCTCTGTAGTCTATAGACTTCCCACTGTGTTCTCATGGTATCAATCTTTAGCTGGTTAATACGGTGTGCCAGCATCAGTCTGCAGAGTCGACTTCAAACTGTACATCTGTAGAAATGGACCGTGATTGCGTAAATATGTTCATTTATCTTGTACAGCAGAGTGACATTTAATCTCACACACACATTCGAGGCAGAATCATGGGGACGCTATAATACTCAGACAGAAAATGAGACTTGGTGTCTTGGCGATAAAGTTGAAATTAAAGCTATCTGTTCAACACTGGTTAGCGACTGCCTAGTGCCTCCTCACATCACACACAGCTAAGTTAAACATTCTCCAACCCCAAAATACGACACCACACACACTCTAACCCTGGAGTCTTTGGAATGTAATACATTGATTCCCAATGCAGAGGTTGGTCAGGTGTTTTCCGCCGACACTGGGAGCAAGTTACTGTTTTAAATCATGTCTACATGTGTATGTTAGAAACAAGCAATCTTTCAGCTATTAAAAAAAGGTCTCAAATGAAATGCGACGGTGCATTTATGCGTTGTGTGCGCTGTGCAGTGCGAGTGTTTCCTCTGTGGTTCTCTGTGAAATGTGAGTAGTGTGTCAGCAGTTCAAGCACACAAACACACACACGGTGCTTTGTAATAACCATTGGCAGACTGAAAAAAAAAAAAAGAAAAAAAAAAATAGCAGAGCAAAATATTGTAGTGTAGAAAAGTGTTACTCCAGATATGATTACTTGAAAACGGAGCAGTTAAAGTTTTAAAAAAGCAGTGATTAGTATTACAAGAAGTCACTGAGGCATCAGAGAACAGTGAGGAATCGAGTGGAAGTGACGTCCTGTGGCGATGACCCAGCCAGTGGGGTGCAGGACAAGTGTGTGTGTTTGTGTATGTGTGTGTGTAAGCAGGTGAAATTTGTCCACTGTAGTCTTCAGTCTCTTTTGGCCCAGTTGTGGTTGTAGGACTCTAAAGGCAGAAAAAAAAAAGAGGTAAACACAAGTTAGACCAAACAGTTAGACGTTCAGATCTGCACATGACACCAACATAAAAGGTAAAAGATATTGGATCCCATCTAATAAAACATCTCAAATTTTATCAATTTAGCGTTTTAATCCAACAAGATAAAAGAAATCGCATTAAAAAAAAATTACCCTTGATGGCTTTCCGTCAAAAATATGAAGGAAAATAACCTCTGAGGCACAGAAGAGATTATATAAATTTCTTTTCAACAGGCTAAGCCGTACGCACCATGACTAATAAACTGATCTTTATGGATAAAATTCGCGAAGTGCTCCATTAAGATTAAATATTTTATTTATTTATTTTTTTATGATAATGGAATAAAGCATGTTATATTCAGGAGTGTGTGTTGAGAGTAAGGAGTTCTACAGCTTAATCTCTTAATCTTTTAATCTTGATGGACTCAGCGCTCACACTGCTCTGCATCTCACTGCGTGTGCCTTCTCAAAATTAGTAAAACTCCAACAGTCCTTGTCTCGCACCCCCCCTCCACACTCCCCCACTCGTCTCACCAGAATGACGACAGTGCTATCAGACAAAGATCTTGGCAAGTGCATCTGCGCCGGCGCTGGCGATGAAGGGCTGTGAAGAGTGGAAGGCCACGTCATGAATGGCCTCGTCGTGCTTCTTCCTGTGGGCTGTGATCTCCTGCACGCACGTCCTGTTGTCCAGCATCCACAGCCGCACCGAGCAGTCGTGGCCTGCAGGGGCCGCAAGCAGGTGGAAACGAGGACAGCAAAGTTGTGAGGGAGAGAGATCACTGTTGAGTGCCATGTGAAGGAGTCTTTCACATTTACAAGCTAGATTTAAGAGTTTGAGATGCAATTTTAATTCATTCCCAAAAAATAGCCACTTGTGCACAGAATGGACTCAGTATGAAAACATACTGGTGTGTTGATGTCGAGCATTTTTGAAAATGACGCAGATTGTCTTTATCCTAGAGGAAGGCTGATTCTAAGATGGTCAGCTAAATAAGGACACAGCAAAGCTGAGCGGTACTCACTGCCAGAGATGAGGTAAGTGCCTTTAGGGTCTGTAGTAAGACAGGTGACTGCATCCAGGTGAGCCACCATTGAGTGGACAACTTTACCTGTACAAACACACAAATGAATCTTATTCAGACGCATTCATATCCCAGAAAAATGTGAGTTATCAGAGGAAATTAACAGATGATCCGCAGAAATAAAAACACCTTCAACAGATACCTGTCTTATTGTCTAGGAAGCGGATGGTGCGGTTCTCATGTGCAGTGATGGAGACAGGCTCAGATGGGTGACTGACCACTCGGTTGATCAGCTCACTGCCTGCAAATGAAGACAAACAACTCCATCTTAATGTAATCTGTTTTATCTATTCCTCTTATTATCATTTTTAACAAGTCTCAGAACGGGTGATGTTATGTGTGATGGAGAGTCGACTGTTATTTAATTCAGAACATACCATCCTTGGTCTGTGTCTCTAGCGCAGTGATGCTCTGCTCTGTGTTGAGGTCGTAGAGCAGCGTCTCACCACCGTCAAACGACACCACCACCTGGTTGGGGTCCGTAGCCACAAAGGCCACTGAGGTGGGTGTTCCGTGCTCTGAGAAAAAAAAGCAGGAGAAGATGAAGTTGTGGAGCATGGACACAATGCAAAAGTAAATCTACTAGTGATGGGTATCGTTGAGATCCAGCACAGATGTCTACCTCTCTCCTTATTGAACACAGACAGGCAGGGAGCAGAGTTCTGAGGGTCCCAGATGCGAATGGTGCCATCGGCTGAGCACGAGGCAAGACGATGATGAACTGCCGAGTAAGTCAGACCCCAGACGCTGTCCTCGTGGCCTGCTAGTACGCTGCTCTCGATGCCAGGATCTGGATGGACAAACACACATATTAAAAAATAACCATGAGGAAAACACTCCTAAACATTATTATTACTTTGTGATTGCTAAATACTCAGTTAGAATGACTGACCGTAGTTATCGTAAGGATCCACATTGAGGTCTGGCATCTTCCAACACCTGACGGTTCCATCCAGACCTCCGCTGTAGCAGGATTCTCCATCCTCGCCCATGGTCAGTGACAGAACAGCTCCACTGAACAAAAACAGAGGCATTCGTGTATGTCAGTGACAGGTTTGTGCACAAGGTGTGAATTTGTATTTGTGTCAGACTCAACTCACCTGTGCGCTCTGAATGTATAGATGGGCTCGACATCCAAAGCTGCGTTCCTGTGGAGGGACACAGTCTTTTTTATTTGCTCCTTAGTTTTATTTCTTTCTTATTTTAAATTTGTGCATTATCTGTCCTACTGCTCCTTTGATATCACCTGTTATATGTATAAAAATTGCTCTATAAATGTGTTCCTTCTCCTCCATTTTCTTCACTGGAGTCCTGAGGGTTCTTACTTTTTAGAGTGCATGGCCTTGTTGAGGTTCCACAGTTTTAGTGTTCCATCCTCAGAGGCTGTGAGCAGCACCGCTTGGCTGGGGTGAAAGGTCAAAGCGCGGATGGCATCAAAGTGGCTGCGTAGTGTGAAACGAGGGTTCCATGTCTTCTTAAACTCCTCTCTGTTATCCTGCATCTGATACATATAAAAATCGGAGTGAGCAATCACATATTTTGAGTGTGCACATGTAGGTTGTATTACATGTTGTGTAATGACCAGAGCAAATGTGTAATTACATCCATGGAGAGATCGTTGTCATTGGCAACAGTCAGATCAGCCAGTTCACCAAGGTTCATGTCCCCGCCTCCGACAGCATCCATGATGAAGACGTCTGAGGAGAAACCCAGGGCGCCACCTGCGGGTTGGAGGTGGAACAGCACAGGTTTACTACATCTTGACAAAATGTCATGGCTCTATAAATACAGACTGATACAACTGCAAATACAGCAATGAATCTTAGATCTCTGTGGCAAGAGTCCATTCATCCTGTTGCTTTACTCCCACACTGTGCTGTGTACCAGAGGAAATATTCATAGGTGTAGGAGCAACTTTGTAAGTGTAAGACAGCATCCAAATTTAAGATTTTACAAAGCTCCAATCATGTGTGTGGGATACAGGGGAGACTGAGGAAGAATACTTTGGAGGTTACAGTCTATGGTGTTCTATGGGGCATATTTGGTGGGGAAGTCTTACCTTCACCAGAGCGAGCCTGTCCTGATACTGAAGGGGGCGGGGTAGGCTTAGGAGGGAAGTCCGACATCATGCCTTGTAACTTGTTCCTGCGGTTCTCTGAACCCGGTAAGAGGAGAGAGACACAAAACATCCAGTCATGCAGAGAGGCGGAGGAAGGACGGAGAGGCCAACAGACGGACAGATGAGAGACAGATGGATGTAGACGGAGGCAAGAAGATAGACTTCATTCTTTAAATACATAACATACACTCACACAATTTTACAGATTCTTTTTGTGAGAGGATGAAATCAATAAGAGCACAGAACTACGGTGTAAATATGACTCAAAGAATGAAATGCGGATATATAAAAAGAGAAGGCAGCATGCGTGACATCTTTTGAAATGACCCAGGACCACAGAAAATACATCTACAGACAGAGATGACAGCTACGCAGCTCTAAAGAGTCACAGACTGACAGCTCGTGAAACAGGACAGAGAGACAGGTGGTTGGGAAAAGAGGCTGGTTTTATTGACAAGAAGAGATGCCAAGACACAATGAGAAGTAAAAGATAAAAAGGTGAGCAAGGAGGGGTGGGGGGTCGGGGTGGGGTCAGGTGGGCAAAAAAGACAAATACAGTGGTGGCAGTGATTCTGGCAGTGCTGGTGCTGATGGTGTTGCTATGGCAACAGCGTACCTAACTCCCGTCCGTCCCCCGAGATCCGGGCCTCTCCCGCCCCCTCCCCATCCTCCCCCGAGCCCAGGAAGTCAAATTCTCCGAGGGCATCTTCTGAGTCATCTTCGTCTTCCTCATCCTCTGGGTCAAGGTCTGTGGTCATGGGCTCCGACCCCATCTGGACATGGGAGCATAGCAGAGAACATGTTGAAGTACATGACAAGTCATGAGTAAAGTTTAAAGTTTATAGTTGCCCATTCTTTAAGTCATTCAGCTCCACCTTGTTTCATTTCTCATCACTGCTCGTACCTTTACACGTGACTTTTTGTTCTTGCGCGGTCCATCAATGCAGTCAGTAGCCATGCCTTGGAAGTCATCTTCCTCGTCACTGTCGTCTTCATCATCATCCTCGCAGCCATGCAGGAAGGGGATCTTATCCAGCACTGAACCACCCAGACGCTCCTTAGAGCTTTCCTTGCCCGCATTCCTACAAATAGACGCATGACGTTAGAGTCTGTCCAATCCATGTTAATATTTAGGACAATAGCGTACAATGTGATGAACTCAGTTATACTGCATAACACCATATTATTGCTGTCATTACAGTACAGTTGGTTTTTTTACATCTTAGACAGGTTTTATCAGTGCAACAAGTTTTATGGGTACAGGTAACACTTTTTAAACTTTCCTACTTGGAGCAAACATTAAAGTTTTTGATAAAACTATCTTTGGTTAAAAATACTTCTGTTCACAGATTTCATCTATACATGGCAAAATATGTGCATGTATGACAGGTACATGTATTTGATGCGCAATGACAAGTGCACAGCCTTAGTAAATCTCTGCTACTTTAGACTTTAGTCACCTGCTCATTTTCTGTTTGGTAAATTTATTTCTAATTTCTGGCGAGCATATCAGTATTCCATTCACTTACACATAGAGAGAGTGAGAGTGTCTGCTTCCACTGTCTCACCTCTTAATTTGTTCCTCTATCTGTCTGACCAACAATGACTCTCCACCTGCCCGGGGCTCGGGCTCGGCGCAAGTTTCACTGGGTGGGGGCCCGTTAGCCTCAGGACTACTTCGCCCGAGCAGGGAGCGCACGCGCTTAGACCGCATGTCCAGGATGGTGTCTGAATAACCCACTTCCTCCAGATATCTGCATTCACAGGAAAAATAGCATGTAAATATAAACCGACAGCCATATAAACCAATCTCCCAGCTCACAAGTTGTTCAAGTACTGATAGAACCCATTAGTATGGTCCTGAGATAAAAGGAGCAGTTGACAGAGAGGTCTTACTTGCGTAGTAGCTGACGTCCCTCCTTCCAGGACATCTGATTGGCTGGCTCAGAGTCTGACTCAGCTGGCCCATTGGGAACTACAGAAAATAGATTGGTCAATAGTGATGCAACAGCAGGGCATGAACAGAAAAGGAGAACAGCAGAAACTTTCAGCAGAGAGAGACACGACAAAAGAAGCTGTCCAAATAACAGAGTACATAAGTGTTTGGTTAAACATACGTTGGTCTGCCTCCGTCTCTGGTTTCTTGTCTCCGGGACTCTGGTCGTTTCCTGTCTTCAGCTTCTGGTGCTTAGCCCTGCAACCCCACATCAGACAACATGAGGATAAGTATTATGAGCAAATAGTAGAAAGAAATCTCTCACCATCAAACCACTACATCTAAAACATGCAGATGTAAGGACACAGGAACAGAAAGAGAGAGTTTCCTGACACTTGTCATACCTCTCCTGTTTGAGGGCATACTCCAGCATTTTGATCCGCCTCACCAGGTCCTGTTTCATATTCTCCTGCCCTTTCCTTTCACCCTGCAGGAACGCCACCTGAGCCTGAAACACACACACACACACACACACACACACACACACACACACACACACACACACACACACACACACACAATGGTAAGGAACACACACGAAGTACATTTAAAAAGGCACTCACGTGCCACAATCACACACATAAGCATATAAAAACACCAAATCAATCCAGATTGACACTATGACTCAGCCATAACTGAAGTGAATTGGACAAGAAAGCATGTCCTTGCTCAATTAAGGCTAAAGAGCAAAGCGTTTGATATCAATAGCGATCACAAGGAGAGGCCGTGAGCGTGAAGAAAAAAGAAAAGTTTGATGTGACAAGTATAGCAAACATGACTTCTGAGAACCCTGAGGAGTAAGTAGAGGGTTGTGGACCAGTCTCTTATTTTTAACTTCTCCTAACCGAGGCCTCACTGCGCATCTGCACGAGAGGAAAAACAAGACTCAGACCAGCCAAATTCAAATACCCTCTTCTAAGACACATCCTTCCTCTGTGCGCTTCCTCTCTCATTTTACATCCGTTTCCTTCCTCACCGAGCTGATAAAATTCTTACCTTGAGGAAAGATATGTTCACTGCCTATTCTTGTCAAACAATTAAGAGATTCTGTGAGAAAAAACATGATAATGGATGAACGGACAGTGACGACACTGTAAAGACTGTCCTTAGACAGGGTGTCCCTTGGATAAACCACCATATGGCAAGACTTGACAAAAATGTGAAAGGGTTGTTGGAGTGGATAGGAAAGATTTTAGCTGTGTTTTTTTACTACCAGGTGATGCTTCACATTTGGGGGGGCTTGAGCTGTGATTCAGATTAGGCAGCAAACATCCTGCCCTCTATTGGTTGGAGGAGAAAAATGCCCCCGTGGAAAAAAGAAAATCCCAGTTAAGAGTAGGCTATGGTTTCTTCTGTCAGGATTTGCATGCAGGTAATAGGAGGCAAAATAGTTTTGTGTCTCCACTCTCTCTCTCTTTCCCTCTCTCTGTGCCAAGGGGTGCTGGAGCATTAACAGTGCTTGTTTTACAGTCCATTTCTCCTCTGCACGCCCCCCCTGTTCGAGTCCATGAGTCTGCTCCCACACGCATACGCAGTTCTGTAAAACTAGAACAGTCTAAAAACACTATCTCATGGGGCAGGCACTCGGTCTACTTGAGAGGGTAGTCAATCACCCAGGAAAGCGCACACACACACACACACACACACACACACGCACAGTCACGTAACCAGCTTGGAGGGCTAGTGGAACACAGGATAATCTGCCAAGCAAACCTTACTACTGCTGCTGCTGCTGCTGAGTAATCCTGATTAATGCAATGTGATTTTATATGCTTATCTGAGAATTTTGGAGATAATTGTCAGTGGTAGCATGTCAACACTGCAGGCATGATCTAAGAGGTTGTGAAATACAGAAAACTTAACATGGTTTATACTTAGGCTAACCTAAGAGGAGCAGTTGAGTTCTTGAACATTAAAATGAGTGAAATAACTTATGACTTAACCATGTTCGTGTGTACAGAGCACTGACAGGATAGGTTGAACAGGAATGTATTTAACAAGCTAAGAAGACACAAAACACAACAACCCTACTTGGCCTTATATAAACTGCTTTGTAATAATATATCATTTGCTGTGGTTAGGTGGTTGATAAAAGCATCTAGCTAGCTGAGTATTTCCAGCTGCACACAACTAGTAATTGTGCAGTTGTTGTGTTTTGTAATGGCAGATGCAATACTGTCTTTGTATAGTTCACAGAGGCAGAAACGCTTGTTCCAGTCTGACATAATCAGACATAAATATTAAAGTGCTAAAATACAAGAAAAGCAGAGCTCGGCTGTGGTGCTAACTGTGTAGCGTCATAGTGTGGGAGGTTCGGATATCAGAAAACAGCATGTATATTATATACTGGGCACTAAAAATGGTTGAAAAAAGATGGAACACAGCCACAAAAATCATCTTCAAGGTTAATATATATATACACAAGGGTAAGATTCAAGCTTGACCTTAGCCAGCCACAATAATGACAGTGAGATGTCCCATTAAACAATGTAACTGATAGTGTGGTCTGCTGTGGGTCAAGTACAGACCATCAACTTGGGTAAAATCAGCCAAACTCAAGACAGGGGCAGAATATACTTAAATAAACACATCTTAACCACAGAATCCTCTGTGTACTGACTCATCAGCTTTTCTGTGAGTGTAAACACCATTGGCCACTCAGCCTTGATGCACCGAAAGACTATGACCAAAAATTATAGCGTGACAACTGCAGATAGCTAGCTGCTGAGCTTTTCACCTTGTAGATACTTCTTATGTATAATTTGTCCTGAAGTGAACAGTGATGCACTCACTTAGCTTAAAAACAAACAAACAAACAAACAAAAAAACTGAACTAAATCCTTCAATCCAGCAAAGTGCTTTGTAATTTCCACCTCTAAGTGGAATGTATCTACTTCACCCTTGAGGGGAAGGGCATGCATTTTTACTCCTACTCACATACGGACGAGCTACAACCTGCTCAGACACACAGATAGCCATCACACCCCTGCGCGCCTGTGTCATGCTGTGTTCCTAGAAGGAGTCTCCCACCAGAGCCCAAAGCCTCAAATCCCTAACACTGCTTTGTTGGCCAAGATAGAGACGGGGCTGTATGTGTACACAATCGAACGCCCAAATAATCACATCACAGTGACAATGCGCACTGTAACTGCCTTTTCCTGATACATAAAAGCAGCCAAAACAGAAAGATTATTGCATCAAAGGGTTCATTGCTGTATGCCATTCTTTCTCTGACCTTGTTTTACTTGCTCTTCTTTTCTACAGTATTTCTCTTTCAAAGTGGTAGGGTCACATGGTTCAGTGGATAAAACACGATGTCAGGAGCAGCAGCACACATTGGCTGTCTTAGACACAAGAACAAATGCAGCTTTCTCCGTATTAGCTCCTAGGTAAAATATCAACTGTTTCATCGGACTAAGGCGATTAATTGAGGAGAAGTCACCTCTGTACCATTTTCAGCTTTAACTGGTTTTGTTATTCTGCCCTCTGACTGGTTCAGATTGGGACATGCTTGTTTTCACTGTGTGTGGGACCCAGGCCAACAGAAGTGAGACAAGGCAGCCCATTCAACAGCTAATAAAAGGTGTTCTTATCAAGAGACTGACACTTAAAATGGATGAGACAATCACAACAGTTGTGGAGGAGCAGGTCAAAGGGCATGACAATATTTATGGAGAAACTTATACTGAGGTAAAATATCTTTCCATCTATAAAACCAACCAATGTCAGTGGATAATGAAATCATCAGTAAGTCTTTTGGGTGTCATTTGATATAGCCCTGCTCACTCTGACGGTGCAGTTATTTTCTTTGTATTATGTTGGTAAACTAACAAAGCCTAAAGTACAAAGGAACCTTGTTGCGAGCAAACCTGCCGTGCCATCTGATCTCTCTTTCCTGTGGGTGGGTTTTCCTCCATGTGGCCTACTGCCACTGACCTTTCCAGAGTTTGTCGTAGCATTGAGAGCTGACACATTTAGCCTATTCTGTCAGCCCCTCTCTACTAGCCATAGAACAGGGTCAAGGGCAGCTTTCCTCCTCCACTGGCCACCCTCCATCTTCTCATCCCTTCATCCCCATGAGCCAACAAGTAGAGCAATGAACTTTTCTGGGACAGTGTGCTTTGATGGAGTGTGATTAGAGTGCATAGTGTGTGTGTGTGTGTGTGTGTGTGTGTGTGTGTGTGTGTGTGTGTGTGTGTGTGTGTGTGTGTGATTTAGCTACAGAATAACATCCCTAAAAAGTTGGGCTTGCTGCCTAAGTTTGACCAGAAGTTGTTTGATAATCATTAGAAAGCAAAAATTACCCCATGTCATGAACATGTTTCAAATCACAACATTTACAAGATTTCAGCAAATGCGACAGTGCAGAGCAAATTATATATAGAAAGAAGAAAGGTAAAATACAAAATATACAAATATAAATATGTAACAAGAATGCTGAAAGTCTGTGTGGGCGGGAGGCACATACTGTAATAATGCCATACATATGGATGTCATATGTGTTTCATGGCTGAGAGCGCAGAGCTATTAATTAGAGATGTGTACCCAGGGGCCCCATGCGCCACACTCCGCAGGAAGTGATGTCATCTGGGTCACCAGTAATCTATTCTACACAACTACTGACACGGTTAATAAAATTAAATAGATGAAAATGAGAAAAATGCAAAGAGGGAGAGGTAAAGGTCTGCCCTTTTCCTTGTAGAATAAGTGCAGTGACTTGGTTTGACGTCTGCAGCACAGTCTGATTGTCTATTAAATTAAAATGAGGATCATTATAACAGGCTAATTACTACAGGCTTGTTCTGACACAGTGCAGCAGTACTGTGATTCGATAGAATACACTGGAAAAAAGCTTCTTAGGTGTCTGAAGGACGGAGGGACAAGGCCACCGCCACCTGTCCCCTGTGCCCTGTGCTGCTGTCCCATGGTTGTGCTGGGACGTCCCACCTGGCCCAGAGCAGGGAGGGCTTTAATTCCTGGCCTGTCACTGGAGACACAGCACCACAGGTGGCCTTTTACACTGAAAACACACTCACAGACGGCACATGTGTTACAGTGTCACAGAGACACGCTATGCTACAGACAGACATTCACACTGCCACACAAAGAGTCTCATATTCGAAAGCTGATAGTGTTAATGTTTGTCAAGTTTTGGTGATGGTTTTCTTGCTGCTGACAGATTTTGCATTCAGCTTCCTTACTAGTTGTATGAATGGCATAAAAGCACAAAATATCATGCACAGGCAACACGTGAGCAGACTATATTATGGACACATGTACATTATGTTGGTAACTGTACAGGACATTTCCAGGGGGCATGCTAACTGGCATGTTGAGAGGCCTGCGAGCATGATGGCAACAAAAGCCAGAGGGATTGGGGCCTGTGGGTGCTAAAATGTAAGCTAGGTCAATTTTTCAGCCTGGCACTCCAGTGATCCTTTCTTCTCTCAACACAGGACATGGTGCTAATTGTACCCGTGAAACCAGATCATGTGCAGCAAATGTGCACACGTAAACAAAGTTCCATAACAAGCACTAATGGCATGTTGGACACTGTGATGGCCTGCTTCTGACTTCCATACCCACTCTTCCCCAACACGCGCCTATAAAAGCAGCAAGCGCGGCCGGTTTGTTATTGTTCATCCATATTTTATCATGCTCCTATTTATAACTCCATATGTTTGAGTTGGGGGCAAAGCAAATTGACAGAAGATATGAAGATACTGTACATCCTTTTCTTGTGGTTTTGTCAAGCCCATGAACTCCAGAAGATACTTCATCCTGATTACAAGTAAACTGTGGCTACAGTAGGAAGACCATATATGGATTTAGAAATGAAAAGATGAACTGTTGTTCATTCCAAACGCAGAGCAAAAACAACACAAAAACACTTTGTATGTGTGTATGTTTTCCTAACCTTTCTTAATCCTGGAACAATTTGATGAGTAAGCACAATCTTGCACAGCAATGCTCTGCCTAACGCAGTTACACACATGCATGTAGGATGGTTGAATAGTACAACCTCTGTCTTCTGCTGTTAGCCTCCGAATAACTGGAGCTATTAGGGAACTCATGCCTTGCTCAAGGGCATTTCTATGGCATTTACACAGCTTTTTCTAGGCATTTCACCGATTCAAACTTATGACCTTTAAGAACACAAGCTCACTTCTCTAACCTAAAGGCACATAACACTAATATGTGTTTGTAAGTGGCAGGTCATTTTATATAGCCATATTTTTTTTACATTCAGTCAGGATTGACAAGTAATCCTCACCAATTTAGTTGTAGATAGGATGGTACTTGACTGACAATAATCTCAGTCAAATGATAGTATGAATGAAATTGAAAAATACAGTTGCATTTCATACATTTCAGTCAAGTTCAAACACCACACTGCTGATTCATCCATCTGTGCGACGGGCCCCAGTTCAAGAATGTTGATTTCCTGTCAATATCACCAGATATTATACATATACATATGTACAGATCTGTGTATACACAGATAGACTCTTTACTACAGACCACTGTCTGTTAAGATTATGCCTCAAGGAACTTCATCTGAAGGGATTTTGAAGTAAGACGTGATTTACTGAAAAAACTGCTAGCTGTCTGGTGTGCATGGAAGGAGCGGAAGCCTATGTTCAAAGGTCACCCTGAGCACTTTCTCTCACTGTGCCAATTGTTTTGTGAAGACAAAAAGCAATATCTTCAAACCTGTCCTCATTTTAGGGTGGCATTTAAGGACACCACTTTGACAACTCTCAGTAACTATCGCTCTCAAATTCAGTGATTACAAAAGGGAACTCAAAGCTGTATGACACTGTCTTGTTTTAACCACAACAACCACAGATCACTTGATATGTCCCTGTGGGCTATGGAAATCCAATTGTTGTCTACTTACAAACTATGTTTCCACATAAATGCCAAAATACAAACTACATTGAAAGGAGTCTGGTCCTGGCATGTCTTTGATGTGTACCTGCATAAATATCAAGGAGACACAACAAGGTAGCCACACCTAAACAAAATTACCTGTCATTTTTATTTTCAGGATAGCTTGCTTGCTTTTGTTGGCTGACATAAACCTATATCATATCCTTATTTCGTGGAGTATATCTTTGTGATTGTAATGTAACTGATTATACAGGAATTTGAAGGCCAAAACGCAAAGATTACTGCTTTCTGAAAATAGTTTATTTTATGTTTAAAGCTTTCAGGTGGGTGTTTGGTCTTTGGTGAGCATCAGCTGGAGGTCATAGATTCCCTGTATTTTCATTAACTATCTAGTAATAATACACCCCGGTCAATACAATATGCAACGTTAGCCCGTTAGCATTTTGTCATCCTGAAACTGACTGTGGGGCATGTGTACTGTCACAAAGCAGCACTGAACGGGCTCCTGCAATATCCGTTCTGGCCTTTATTCGGCGTTAACGTAACAGGCGCAGGCTAAATAATAAACAAATTTACCCTGAGTTCGTCCCTCTCAGCCTCCCAGCGGTATTTTTCGGCCTGGAAGCGTCCCCACTCGTACTGGATGAAGTGCAGGATCCCAGGAAGCGTCATACCCGAGTCCCCGTCCTGCGGCTCCCGTGCCTGCGACGATCCGGGCATGGCCCCGGCTGCTGCTGCTGCCGCCGCGGCTGCAGCCATCGCCCCGGTCGCCGCAGCTGATGTCGCCTGGCCCGGTGCTGCTTTGGGCCCGTTTGGGTTGCGCCCCGTTCCGCTGCTGCTGCCGCCTCCGGAGTTCGGGTTTGGTCCTCCGCCGGATCTGTCCGCCTCCATTTTAACCGTTCAACCTTTCGCCAGGATAAGGAGGTGGAAACGGGCAAAGTAATAAACAATAATAATAAAAAAAAACTACCCCGTTCCCTTCTTCCAACCCAGCAGCACTTCACTATAAGCTACCCTCCTTTCTTCCTTTTCTCACACGCACGGAGCAAAATTACTATTCAGTTGGTAAAATACTACACTTCCGCTTTCAAACATTCAAGATAAAACCCGACCAAGCTGTATACTTGTAGCATTGTGGCCGGTTTATTTACCAATGAACAATATTTAATGGAACTTCTTACTTGAAAACGGTTGCTAAAGCAACATCAAAATGTGGCAATTAAATGTCTTTCGCTCAAAACAACCGTTAATATTTGGTTTGCGACTCTTATTTTGTATATCCCGGATCTGTTTCCTCCTCCTTGTGTTTGCTATTGGAAATGGTGCGGGTGGCAAATAAAGGGACATGTTTTCTGTAATACACAATGAATATGTCGCTAGGGGAGTTTATTTCCTGCCACTTTATGAGCAGGGATGTATGACGACAATGAAGGTGGCTAGAATTACCGACAACCGTATTTCCGGTTTGAATTTTCATTAGGAAATGTCGAAACAAAAGTGGACTATTTGGTAAGTACAGCAGCTGCATGAAGTTCCTGGCTGGATGACTGACTCCTTCACATACAGAACTCTGTAAGCTATAAATCTGCTCTTAATTAAAAGCAGTGGAGACATGTATAGGCAGTTTAAAGTAAAGAGGCATGCACCTTTATGCACAAGTTTTTGGATATAATTGTATTTATTTTATTTTATTGACTTATTTAACAGGGACAGTGCACATTAATAAATTACTGTGAATGAGCCAGAGTAAGCCAAGATGCCAATTTTTCAACTGTAGTCACCCTAAAACAGAATGTGACAGTGTAAGATTAAAATGACAAAGTTATTATAAAAGAAATTTTTTTTTTTTTTTTTTTTACTGTTCGTTGAGTATGTAATTTAAGAGACAATCTCACAAAAGCTTCAGGTTCTATTTCAGGGGAATATTAATGTTGATAGGAATAGGGTTTTTTTGTTTGTTTTTTTAAAGATGGAGCTCTTATTCTGAAGGAATCGAGTCGGAAGTCTTATTGTTGTTTCTGCGGGCAACACAGACGGTAGGCATGATAGCTTCATGGTAGATTCGCTCAGTCGGTTTTCATGGTTGGGCTTATGTCAGGCCACATAGTGATTAAATAATTTTCCGCGCTTTGTGTGCGTTAAGTTGTGGGTTTCTTCTTAAAATGTTGGAGACTCGATTTCGACCACAACTGCAAAAACATTAGCTAACAATACAGATTAATATCTGTGTTTGTTGCTACCGGTTCAGCCAGGTTTGCCCCCATGCTACCAGAGATGGCTGAGATGGACCACCATGAAAACCAGATACAGTACAGGTTAATAGGTTTAACGCTGCTAGAGTTTCTAATAACATGGCAAATGTATGATGTGACGAGCTGCTTCATGCAAGTGACTGTCATGTAAAGAATGAAGTAGATTAATCCAAACTAAGGTGAGTTGTTGTCATGAATTTTACCAGCCTGTTTTTATTGATTGGTAATGCAGCTAGCCATGTTTTATTCATAAAAGAATCCCTTGCATGGAGCTATGGCTGTCTTACTTTTACATTTAAAGGAACTAATAATGGCTAGCTACTCAAAGTAGTCTCAACTGTCCTGTGTGTCATTTTAACACAGCATGAAATTGCATTATACAGTTACAGCATGTTTACAGTGTTATGTACATGTAAGCCTGTGGAATTAAAAGAAAAACACTATTACTGCATCCTAATATTTTTTTTGTCTTTCACAGGTTGTATGTATAACTCTCATTGCTCTACTCTTACACCAATGGGGACCTAAGAACCACCATTGGATTTCTTAATTGAAACCTTGATTTTACTGCTGAGAGAAACTGGAAGGTAAACGCTAATTGCCATGCGTATCAGTTTCTGCCAGGGCCTGTTAACTGGCGCCATTATCCTCAACCTCCTCATTCTTTACTATGTGTCCCGGGCCCAGCAGCAAATGATGGAGAAGAGGAAGGAACTTGGTAGGGGTACAAGGAGGGCTGCCCTACCAGCCTCTGGTCTTGGGGGAGGCCTAGGATTACTTGTAGGAGTTGGAGGGGAGCCTGGAGTGGTCGGAGTGGAGGGACACAGTCGTGGCCCACGCGTGACCGTTCTTCTGCGGGAGTTTGAGAACTTTGAGAATTATGTCGGGGATGTGGCTAATTCCTTCCTCCGTCAGAGACCTGAGCTTCCCTTCCTGGCTGTGGCTGACACGTCTCCATACCCTCCCTTGGTGCTTCCAGAAGGGGCTCGGCTTCTAGTGCTCTCCCCCAGCCCGGACCAGCCTCCGCAGGCTCACAGGCCGGAGTTCCACGTCCAGACAGAGTTTGTTCTCCTGGTGCCTGATGGGGTGGAGCTGGAGCAACCACGGGCTATCGAGAGGCTGATCAGGGAGTTGGAAGGTGAGGGAGGGGGGCCTGTGAGGCTGGTAGCTGCACCAGTGCTGGCTCGATCTGCTGTGCAGTGTCTCCACCTGCGGGTGAACCTCAGAGAGTGGACAGCCACCTATTCACCGGCTGCCTCTGGGAGCAGCGGGAGTGTGTGTACGGCTTTACAAGGAGATGCAGTTGTCCTCATTCGCACTGAGGATCTTTTTAACCTCTCTGTCCCTCTGGGGCGGCCCCTCTTCTCCTCGCTCTTCGTTCAGACTGCCTTGAGAGGCTGGAAGGTCAAATTGCTGGAGAGCCCCTGTTTCTCCGCAAACCACCGGCCCCTCTTCAGCTCCGCTCATAACCAGTGGAAGGCAGACACTCGTCTGAAGGAGGCCACCGGGAAGCTTATGAGGAGCTTTGGTCTGAAGCGCCTCCTGCTGCCTGATGGGAAGGAACAATGGTATGGTTGCAGTAAAGAGACACCTCGCTGCTTTGGCACTGTGCAGGATGACACTCCAGACTACCTTTATCTGGATCGCTGGACACCACCCTGCTGTCTGCGAGCACTCAGGGAAACCACCAAGTATGTTATCAATATCCTAGAGAGCTCAGGTGTGCGCTACTGGCTAGAAGGGGGCACTCTGCTGGGTGCTGTCCGCCATCAAGACATCATCCCATGGGATTATGATGTGGACCTGGGCATCTACCTGGAGGATGTACCCAACTGTGATCACTTGAAGAACCTGGACTCAGGCTCTCTTGTTGATGCTAACGGCTACGTCTGGGAACGTGCAGTGGAGGGAGACTTCTACAGAGTGCAGTACAGCGAGGCCAACCACCTGCATGTTGACCTGTGGCCATTCTATCCACGTAATGGTGTCATGACAAAGGATACTTGGACGGAGCACAAACAAGACGTGGAGTTCCCAGAGCACTTCCTGCAACCGCTGGTGCCCATGCCCTTTGCCGGCATCACTGCTTACGGCCCCAATAACCACAGAGCGTTCTTGGAGCTCAAGTTTGGAGAGGGGGTGATTGAGAACCCCCAGTACCCCAACCCCTCAAAAAAGAGACTGGAGAGAAGCAAATTATGAGAGACGATAGAGACTATTTAGAAGCTATTTTATGTGGTACTGTAATTGTTTACCAAACAACACGGGAAACAGTCTAAAACATGATACCTGGAAACTAATATGGTGCCAAAAGGACTACATTTGCTGTTCATTTTACCACAACTATATCAGTAGAAAACAGTATAATCACATGTCTGGTCAAGATTTCTCCCTATTATCAGTATTTAGATGTTAAGTCTAATGTTGGACAGACTTTTCATCCTTTGTGAGTGAGAGATTTTGTTTGCAAAGGTCATGAACGCTTGAAAAATTTCAATCCATACCCTTGTGCATTGACATTAGGCATACCTTAAAGAGGGACCGGTTTTACTACATGGTGTGCTAAATCTGTATGTGTTGTACAATAAAGTTTAAATATGATTGCTGCAAAGGTGATACATATTCTTTAGTTATAAGTTTCAGTTTACAGTATCTTAAGCAGGATTTAAGGTATTGTACAGAATTAATTGTGTTACATAAGTGGCTTTGCCCTAACAGGTGTTTTATAAATCTCTGGACTGTGTTGCATTGTTTTGCACTGATTATTATTATTATTATTATTTTGCAGTTAATGAATGAATGTTATGTATACTAATACTATTTAGTACCCGACAACTATAGCGAGCAAATCTGTGTGGTAAAATGAAATACGCTCCTTCATCCTGTTGTTGGCATATGGTGCGGATGAAATGTTCCTCTATCAGGCCTTAGTATTCAGTTCAAAACATAACACTATGACTGAATTTGTAAATGAATATTAACCCTTCGCTGAATTATGTGTGTTACTACTGAGCACCCATTAAGTGTTGACTGAAATGGAATTTCAACTCAGTAGATTATTCAAAGGAAACATTTGGAAGGGTACCACATGTTTACTGTAACGTTGTTACTTGTGTGTGTGGTGTATCGAGGTGTAGCTCCATTTCATGTACTGGTAAAATAAAAGGAACTGGAACTGTTTCATGGCTTTATTTTATCCATTTGTTTTGAAGGCAGAAAACAGAAAATGTAAAATAGCTGCTGCAATTCTTGAACACTAGGTGGCAGTGTACACCTATTTATTCTACGGCTTTTGTAACTCCTCTAAGCCTGTGCATTATGCTGTGGTCACCCTTATTGTCAACAGCATTATTGGAGTTCCTCAGCCATATGGCAGGAGACCAGGGGGTGGAGGATTTTATGACAGGACAAACAGGAATGTCACGTTACAGGAATGCAACTCACTTGTCCATCACACATAGTCCAGTGACACAAAGTATCTTCCTCATCTTACTCAAGCAAGAATGACTGACTTTAAAAATAGCTCTCATTGATGGTGCACATATTGCATTCCTAGAGGTGTGTTTACATTCTTCTTACTTACCTATGAATAAACAGCATTGTTCATATATGGCCTGGTAATTAAATACACATCTATACTACCAAGAGACTATGGTAGGTTATTTTTGGCTGCAAAATCAAAGGGTCTCCGTGCATTATAAATATGTCTCCCCACTTGTATGCTACTGCAGAGTGGAGGTGACTGACTGTAACAGAGCTATGGTGTTCTCATGCAGCCACAAGTGTTACTTGATTTGCTGAATTGAGCGTTAGCTACTAGTCACTGCAGTGAATAAAGTTAAAAAAAAATAAATAAAAAACACACAGGGACAGTTGTAACAAAGAGCCAAAACACACAGCCAAATCATAAAAAAAAGGACTTTATTGTTTAAAACCTTGAGACAGCACATTCAGATTGTTACTGGAAAATTTCTCTGAAACCTAGCCCCACTGTAATAACTACCATGCACATACACATAACAGTATGATGTCAGACAGACATCCATATGGTGAAATATCTCAAAAGGAATGATAACCTCTTTATAACCCTGCACCAAAACAGCATAAGGTCGAAGCTGGAGCACAATAGCTTAGTTTTAAGGCAGTGATAAATTTTTTAGCACTAGTGAAATAAGACTATGGAGATAATGCAATGATTTCATAGATGACCATTATGGGAAATACTGCAAAACTAGTGCAATATAAAGCTGATAAGTAAAAAACACCCACTGAAAAGATATTCCTCATAAAACGTTGTATATACCATTAGTAGCATATGTCCCAGTCATTTGGTAGACTTCTAAACAGTTAAAGATGATGTGGATGGAGGAGATAAACATTCAATAGTGCAATTTTACAGTTATTCATTTGAAAATAGGACAGTAAGGGTACAACCAATACATATCATCACTGCTATTCTCAAGTCTTGAAGTTTCCAAAATGCCCGCTGCCAAACTGCAAAAGAAATTCACCAAATGGAAGAACTTAGTATACATACAGTTTAGAGTTTCACCCACTAGTTGAAAATCAGACAGAAGGGAAAAAAAAAAAAAAAAAAAAAAAAACATAAAAGACTATCACCAATCAGCCATTATAAGAAGCTGGCAAACAAAGCCATTTTGGAGTTACTAACATGTCAACATGTCATTGGCTAAAAAAATCTTTGGGTTTTGATTAGAGAAATAAATATGAATTAAAACAAATATTTATAAAACATACAAGGTGGCCTAAAGCCCAGATAACTAGTATTCCATGTTTATGGCCCTTACAGCAAAAAAATGAATAGGTTTCAATTGAGACATGTGTACCCTTAAGTCCTTTAGGTGTTCAGGCCTCAAGAGACACAACTAACCAACAATCCACTGCAGCTGTTTTGACAATGTAGAGACATCTTTGTAGTGGAAGGGATTCTGTTACGTATACATCACATGTAATCACACACGGTATTACAGTGTCAGTCAATAATGCTTGTCACACACTGTGCTTTAAAACCCATTTGTACCTTGTTAAGATGCACAGAGCAACAGCATGAATAAAATGTAGGCCATAATTTAAAAAAATCTCCCTTGAAAAGTCATTCAGTGTAATCAGGAGTTCGACAGTCTCCTTCCTGTTTGCTGAGTCAGTGTGATTTTTGGTCTTAGGGTATTAAGGAGCAGCTGAAGGACAGTCTTCAAGCAAAAAGGTAAACCTGAGGTTATGCTGCCTGCCATAGCACTGATGTCCATCTGAAGAGGCAGAGATGCTTGGAGGTCAATCTGTGTGTGTGTGTGTCCATGCATGATGACATATTGTGAGTCCTTGAGAGAAAAAGGTCCTTGATTCAGCTTTGGGATGTTATCGAGGAGATTAACTCATTTGGTGTGCTTTGGAGTGTGAAATCTATATCTTGAGAACAGGTTTTACAAGTATATTGTTTTTTTTTTCCTCACCATGAGAAAGGCATTGTACACAAGAGAACCACTACAGTCTAAGGGTATAACCAAAGACACAATAAGACTACTAAAAAGCCTTCAGCCCCCATTAAAGATTATAACAAGTGTTTGTGCATTTCATCATACATCACCATAGCCATATTCATTATAAACTTAAGATGAAATCTGCATGAAAGTGGCAATAATCATGTATAATAAAATACACGTGTTTTAAAATTTGCAGTATATAACGATACAGTTTACAACACGATGTCTCTGTTATTTTCTTCAAAAGGGAAGATTGAAATCTGACATTTAAAAAAACAAACAAAAACAAACAAAAAAAGGTGACAGTAACAAAAACATTTTGAAGGTAATAGATTCCAGATGAAGAATATGAAAACTGTCTTGCTAATTCAGACCGGGTGCATAACGCTGTAGAGTTGTCCTCGTCAACTTTTTAAAGTCAGAAATGTTCATGTTTTCCACCTGGAAGCTTTGATTAAAATGATATTGAATAATAATAATAATAATAATAGTGAATAGTGTGGTGACCACCAGAGGTTTGCTAAATGCAGGATCAGTGATAAATGAGATCTGGCAAGGTGGTGACAATAGACCAATAGGTGAACACACCCATGTATAACTTTCATTTTCACATAAATGAATGTACCGTTTCTTATATTTGTAACATTAGATCTGATGTTTCTGAGGAGGTCTTGCAGGGGGTCACTGGTCTAGCCTCTTGACATCCTAGTGGATGTATATATATTGGTCACATGATACACTGATGTGACTGATGTATACCTGGCAGACACACACTTGATCACGATAAAATTCTGCCTTTAAAGTTAGTGAGGACCGACTAAATGCAACATCAGTTTGAGCCAACAAAGCTGCTAGACTAACCTCCAATAATGTTCCTTCGAAAAGAAAACCAAAGTCATTGTGCATAATATGGATTTTGAATTTCTCCTAGGACATCTTAGCTCTCCCGCTCAGAAAAGTGTTTAGAACAGAGGGCTTTTCTTTGCATTGTAGTGTGCATGTCCAGTCTCTCTCCTTGCACTCTTTACTTCAGGGCACAAAAATAAAAAAATAAAAAAAAATAAAAAAAAAAAAAACAGGAAAGGGGGCATGAACCTCAGGTTTCAACTTGCAGGAGTGTCAGATAAGTGAGGGAGTTCTTGATGATGTCATCAACAGGTTTACATGGCAGACTCTTTTTCTTCCCTCCCGCCTCGCTTCTCAATGAGCGGCGAGTGCTCGGGTTCAGCAGCAGTTGGGTTGCCCTCCAGCCTGACCTCGCTCAGCTCTGTTCCTCCTTCCTGTTTGGATGTACGGTCGACAAAGAACTGCAAGAGCCCAGCGCCGAAGGCATCGCCCTCTACATTCAGCACTGTGCAGGTACGGTCACTAAAAAGGAAGAGGGAATGGATGACAAACAATTTATATATTTTGATGTTTAACCAACCTCCTCAGAAAGCAATTCAGGCATTATACGCGGAAGGAAATGTGCACGTCGTAGCATGCTACATTCAGATTTGGAGTATGTACATATAAAATACAAAAGGTTGTGTACTCACACAAGCCAGTCAACAGCCAAGATGAGAGAGATGTCATTGGTGGGAAGTCCTACTGCCTCCAGGATAATAGCTAGGGTCAACACTCCACCAGCAGGTATACCTGCTGCTCCAACACTGGATGCTGTAGCTGTCACACTAACACAAATCAGAGGGAAGATGACATAGTAAGACATTGATAGAGCAGCTAAAATGTTATACTGCATTTTCACAAACATTAAACTACCTTTGTATATCAACTATTTTTGTATTCAGTTACCCAATACGTGAAGTAATTGTACACCGGACATATTGTTTAGTCCAGTTGTGCAACTGTGGACGTGTTTCAGCGGTTTAGGACTTACAGGATGGTAATGACTTGGATGAAGTTAAGGGAAGCGTTGTTCAGCTGAGCGATGAAAACTGCAGCCACACACTGGAAGAGAGCAGCTCCGTCCATGTTGACTGTCGCTCCGATGGGAAGGATGAAACGGCTGATGTGCTTGGATACGCCGTTATTTTCCTCCACACACTTCATCATCAGAGGCAGGGTGGCAGAGCTACGAAACAAGGAACAGGGGAGGTGTGAGTGCATGACGGCGAAAGGTATGTGCATGTGTGTTTGTGGAGAGAGGAAAATGTGTTTGTGTGTGTGTGTGTGTGTGTGTGTGTGTGTGTGTGTGTGTGTGTGTGTGTGTGTGTGTGTGTGTGTGTGTGTGTGTGTGTGTGTGTGTGGAGAGAGAAATGTGTGTGTGTGTGTGTGTGTGTGTGTGTGTGTGTGTGTGTGTGTGTGTGTGTGTGTGTGTGTGTGTGTGTGTGTGTGTGTGTGTTTTAGAACAGGAGGACAAGTGTGTGTGGTGCTGAACAGCCAGAGAAGTAAACAGCCATGAGTTTATTACCTGGAGCTTGTTCCGAAGGCCGTTGCCAAAGCTGTGAATATCCCCCAGAGGAAGGTGTATGGGTTCTTCCTTGTAATAATGAAGTAGATGGCGGGCAGCACAAGTAAGCCATGGATGGCATGTCCAATGATACAGCAGGCTATATATTTTCCCAGACTGGCAAACAGTGTGCCAACATCCTCCATCTCAACAATCTTGCCAGCTACAAGGAACATGATACCGAGAGGGGCATACCTAATGGAGACAGGAAGGAGTGAGAGAGGGACGGGACAGTACAGCGCCATAGATTAAGGTTGTGGAACACGACACAAAGCAAAAGCCTCTCATATTCAGTTATTAAATGTATTTAACACAGAGCTTCATACTGATCTCATTCTAATCTCTCCTAATCCGGAAAAACATGCAGTTTCTTCCTTACCACATGATCCAGGAGACCAGCACCATGGTGGCCTCGTTGAAGGAGTTGAAGAACTTGATGAGGATCTCTCCTTCCTCTCCCAGCTTTCTTAAAGCCACACCAAACACAATGGCAAACACTACCAGACCAAGAATATTCATGCCATCCTGGTCCGTTCCAAAGGGAACCTGGAGACATACAGAGCAACCCAAATCATCATTACAGGGACACAAGATAGGGTTTTATGTTATCTAGTGTAATTATGTGGTGGTCTTTTTTATGTGGACACCCAAAGCCATTCCCTTAGCTCACCCTCTCCACTGTGATGTTAGGGTTTCCATCTGTGCCGTTCTTTGTAACCAGCTTGTAGCTGGTTGCATACTGGATGGGGGAAAATAAAAAAAAAAAAAAAAAAAAAAAAAAAGTTAGACACGGTTAGTTTGTTTTTTTAAACTCAGTGAGCTCATCTAAATATTTCCTTCATACAATGTCAAATCATAATTATGTAAAAATACAGAATCAAGATCCAATACTTACTGATTGAAAGGCAGCTGACACCAGGTTGGAGGGGAAGATGTTTCTGTGGAGAGGAGAAAAAACAATAGTTCAAAAATACTTTCAATTCCTTTGCTCAGTGTTTAACCAGATGCCTTGGCAAAAATCAGATGGAAAAAGCCATTGCTGTAATTTTAAAAGGAGGGAAATTACACGTTTAGGAGCTGAAGAGCAGAACAAAATAAAAGTGCTTGTGCCCTGTTTGGTTCTTTCTCCATCTGCACACACGACTGCATAAAAACAACCTTGACCACTTATATGGATGGGCGCACAGAGCAAGGTCACATTTGCTGCGAGGAAAACACAACATGAAGCCATGAACTGGCCTCGTTTTAGCTCTAATTGTTTCTGAACTCTTAGCTGTTTGCACAGGAGAGTTTAAATAAACAACAAAACAACTCTGCATCGTGCTACGCCTAACTTTTAAAAAGCTCTTCTATTTTACAGAGCTCTATCACCAGTGGTCCTGCAGAGACAGCAGCTCTTCCCTCTGGACATCAGTGATGGTTCAAACAGACAGAATCACAAGGTTGATCATGTGGAAATAGCTGAGAGAATTTAACTATAAATCTCTTTTTTCCTCTGTGGCCCCATTTCTAATTGCTGTGGTGTTACTCTCCACTAGTACACACACACATATTGGTACATAGGTCCAATTGCATATTAAATCTCCTAAGAACTCATGAAACCTATGTGTCCCTGATACCCCTGTACTCAGCTGCCTGTAATGGATTTAGAGTAATAAGGCATTAACTTCACAAGCTCTTTCTAACCATTCATTCCCTTTTATTGGAACCATAGTGCATCAGGATTAAAAATCATGTGACTGTTAGACAGGGCAGCAGGCAACAGCATGCGACCGGATCACAGTCTGAATCCTGGTTGCTCTGCAAAGAGTCATAAAAAAAAGACAGAGGCAGTCAGGTTTTCAAGCCTATGTTAGACTTTATTTGGATATTCAAATGTACTAGTATTCATATTAGTCCAGTCTTTTCAAATGACTGGTACGGTCTGACTGGTGAGGAGAAACTATTGTGTTACGTGTCAATTTGGTGAAATTCTAGGAGTCGTTAGGCCTCATGCAGCTTCACATGATAAAAAGATGCAATTTAGTCAAACTGAAAGGCCGGAGCCTGGTAACTGTAACTGACAACCACTCTTGCACTGTGTGACACTACATCGCTACGTGACACAGGCCAACAGTTCATGTTCTATCCTAAGCAACATTGTGGTGTCAAGGCCTCAATGTTTGACAGCACACCCACACCCTGCGTCTGCATTTCCGTTCTCCGTAAATTTAGATAGAGTTGATAATTCAGAGCTGCAACCTGAATTACTCGACTATCTCTTCCTTGTTTTTTTGTTCTGACTACCTCATTTCCGCCACAGGTGCAAAACCCACTTCTAAATAAAAATTAATTAAAAAAAAAAAAAAAAAACACCTCTCATAGACAGTTACTATCAGCCACCAGCAAAGGTTTCACTTCCTTCTGGTCTTACTATTTTCTATGATAGTTAACCCTAACATGTTCCATTCAAAGAGACAAGGTATTTTTGGCAAATCTATTTTAACACTATACCAAGTTTTTCCTTTACCCATGACAGAGGAAGTTGTGTAGGTCGTACATCCTCTGACATGAACATGTGATTTTTAGCCACGTAAATATGGTATGACAACAACCAGCACACAGTGCCGTCACACACTAATAGGTGGTTGTGTTTCTTTTATGGGAGGGCTGTTGAATGGTTGAGGTCATCAACTGCGCTGATGCCTGCAAACCATCTAGATATACTTCCCGGATGTGGCAACAAACAGGGAACGCCTCTAGCAGATTGATGTAGAATAGTAAACATTTATTTTCCTACCTAACGACAATGATTATGTGTGCTCAACGGGGCAGATAAATGAGTGGACGGATGATGGATAAAAATATATATATATATAGTCGATGTAGAGCTTAGAGCCACAAGATGACAAAAATAATAGAAATGAAGGGATTTAAAAAAAAAAAAAAAAAAAAAAAAAAAAAAAGGGACAAAATACAGTCTACCAAGCCACTCAATACCACAAGATAACAGGCTATATGTAACACTCTTCTGAGGTCATAATGTTTCCATAACTCAAGGCAAATGTTCTACATAGTCACAGTTCACAAGGTGACACTAGCACTGATGGATGTCACCTGTGAATGTGGACTGTGTGGTTTAAAGTGGGAAAACAAACCAAAGGCAGGAGATAAGGCGTGTCAACAAGGATGTGTAGGAGCAGCTCCACTCAAAGTTAACCTATCACCTGAATCCCTTACCTGGCATGTGGTCTTTTTTGTGTTTGTGTGTGTATTAGCATTAAAACAGACTCAGAGTGTGTCTGTGGACAATGACTAGGCTATTTTTACGCTTCGATGAACAGCTCTTCAGTCAAAGTCTTTTGTTGTCAGAACTAACCAGGACACCAACGGAGAGGGCTCACTCTAATGAGCGGCACGGGTATTTCCTGCTGTCCCATTAAGCTCATGTGTAAATGTGTGTGCTGTGTGAACGTGCGGTGGTGGCATGTGTCTTGCACGAGAAAAGCATTACTTTACTGATTGTTTTTTTTCCCTTTTCTTTTTTCCTTCAACACAGCAGGCAGCTAGATAAATCTGGACAACTGTAGCGAAATGCTGCATTCAGGGTAATCATTTAACAATAAACTGGACTGCTGCACTGATTCTGGAAGTAAAGACCACTCCATAAAAGCTCTTAATTATTATTATTATTATTATTATTATTATTATTATTATTATGATGATTTTTTTTTTTTTTCATCCCAGGCATTAAACATGAGCCAGAGTCTGACAAAATGCTAAGCACCTCATCTGAGTTTTGTAAACAGGACTATTGTGCTGCAGCTTGTAGATACAGTTATATAAGAGGGTCTGATAAATATCAGGGTAACAATGTTATCCTTTGAATGGATAAGTTTTGCCCTGTTACTCTTGTCTATCTAATCTGGCCCCGGGCAGCTTGAAATGTTTTTAGTAGGGGTTTCCAGGGCTAGGTCACACTGCCTGAGAAGGGGGAGGGCCAAGGGGGGGGGGGGGTTCTGGCTTTTATGGTATGCGATCCCATAATTCATGGAAAGCAGCACTGAGTGCTCAAAAGAATGCTCAAAGTATCCAGACAGACTTATGCAATATGTTAACAGAGACTTACATAAGAATGTGAAATACAGAGGCAAGTTTAAATTCATATCGCTCAGTGCTGGTCTGTGTTCTCTAGTCCGAGTCTTAGTACTGCAAGTAACACACATACACACTAGTCATAAATATAAAAAAAAACATATGTTGCACATTAAAAAACTTCTCAAGACAAGCAGTAAGTCTACTTTTTAAAGCAACCCTAATGAATTGAGCATAGATTGCGGTGCACATTACATCAGATATTATCAGTAAACTCAAAGGCTATTTGTTTATATTAAATAGGAGTCCAGTTTTTAATATCTGTAGAGGGTGGAAATTTGTACAAAAGCTCAAGGCTCAATACATTTTACTGCATTTCTATTGGCTCAGATAAGCAATGCTATCTGAGCTCACCCCTCTCAGGCTTCCCCAATTGTTTTTTGCACAACAGGGCAGGTGTAAGAGGAAAATGTGTGCCTCATCAACCTCTTATGCAAGATGTTCCCTTAAAACAAACTGTCTGATGTGTCAGAGGATTTTGACATGTCACTATTTAAGTCTCCTAGTTCACTATTTGCCCACTTTGAAGACTGCTGCTTTTCTTATTCCTCAGTAGAAGAGATGACACATGCCTCATGAGTGTGACATGTTGATTAAAAACAGAACAAAACATGATACTGTGCGCTACTGAGTCCCAGACGGACAAGTTTAGAGCAGTGTGGTGAAGAATGCATATACTGTGACTTCCAAGTGCAAAATAAAAAGGTCAACAAATTTAAAGCTGCAAGGCATAGGCCCCTGAATCAGTTATGTTAGATCATATTTAATCGAACATTGGCTTTCTTCACAATTCTGGTAGTCAGTTTATAGCAAAGGCAAAACCTGACAATCAGCCTCTGATTGAAATTAGAAGAGCAGAGGGGCTGTGCTCATTTTATTTTTAAAAACGGGGCTGCCCCTGCAGGAAAAGGTCTAACACACACGTGTTGTGGCGAGACAACACCACGTGTCTATAACTGAAAACACAAAATGTGAAATAAAACCAAAGTGATAGCAGCATTTAGTGACTCTGAAAATATTGATTTGAAAATAACCGCGGGCCGCCTCTGTGAGCAGCCGGTGACCCGGGGAGTTAATTAACCCTCCGTGCTCCGTGAGATGATGCAACGCTTGTAGTCGTTACAGCACGGCTCACTCAGCTACTGGCGGATTAATCTCCACGTGTGATATCCGCGGGTCATACTCAAGACTTTATTTCTCGTTCCTCGTTTGGAGGGGGGGGGTCTTGAAACCAAGCTAGTTGATTAGATAGATCATAAAGAGGCTCGTGTATCTTCGACTGTAAAATTTCAGCAGGTACTACGTGATGTACCTTTTCCCCGCTAAAACACGCGGAAGGCATTGATGAACAATTCATACACAGTTTACACATCATAACTAAACTGCTCATTAAGACTGTGTGAGCTCAACAGGTAACGCAGAGCGCGGGGCACTCACCTGATCAAATCTAAGAAGGAGTCTATCACTTCTTTTGCGGCAGGAACGTCTTCATCCAAGCCTTGTACCGTGGGTTTCCCGACTGTCACAGCACCAGGAGTGAGGATGAAAGCCATCACGACCCCGATGGACGAGGCAATCAAGGTGGTGACGAGGAAGAAGAGCATAGCCCAGCCGCCAAGTTTGCCCAGGGCTTTCGGGTCGATGCTGGCCGCCCCGGACACCAGACTGCAGACCACCAAGGGGATGATAATCATCTTTAGCAAGCGGATGAGCAGCTCCCCGGGGAAACCTATGTAGAGGACCTGGGTCCGGGTGAGTGCCACGTTGCGCACACCGAGTCCAATAAAAACACCGATGATGACACCGGCCACGGTGAGAATCACCAGCAGGTTTGCCAGCACTATCCTCTTCACCCGCTCGGACAGCGGCTCCGTACTGCTCTTCTTTGGGCTGTTCAGTCCATTGGCCAGCGGCTCATCGAGGTGAGCCTCGCCGTTGGATGCCTTCCCTTCCTCCATGTCTATCTTTTCAGCCATTGTGCGCACTCAAAGTTACCCTGAAACTTATCCTAAAATCACCAATAGTCCCCCCTAAAAAAAAAAAAGACCGATAATGTGGTGGAGTTAGTTTTAGTGTCACAGATGCCGGCTTCCTTTTCGCTACTGACATATACTCAGCAGGATGTTCTCTATCTAACCACGAAAGGCAACACCTCTTCCGTGACGTGTAAGGGGCCGGATTTAAATAGGCCGTGACGAATTACCAACCAATTTCCATTACCTTCATTAAAACACAATACAAAACACAATTAACTTTGTTTTTTTTACGCAGATGTATCTATTCTATTTTAGTTTTCATGCATCTCTTAATGTTAGTCTATGTATCTACCGACACAAGATTGTCTGTTGATGTGTGGTTCAAACCTTAATTATTGTCTCATAAAAATAACACTGTAAGACCGTATGTGACGAAGAATATGAGCAAAAGTCAAATCTTTGGGCTATGTGGACACATTCATTACATTACATAGATAGATAAATATGGTGACTGTGTGAGAGAGAGAGAGAGAGAGAGAGACATAGCCTATATGCAGTTACATATATATATATATATAAATGTATGTGTGTGTGTATATGAGAGAAAGAGCTAGACCATGGGCCTCTATTCATGTGTATAGGCAGCAATGAAGTTTTTGTTCATGTTCACTAACTTGAAACTAGTAACAAGTATTGCATCAGTCACTGAAAATTCCTTTGGGCATAAATATGCAAATCAGGAATAGAAGGGAGAATTTAGAAACCTATTGAATTGAGGGAGATGAATTGAAATTTACAGCCAATGTAAAAAGCTGCTTTACAGAAATAACAAAATCTCTCCATATGTCTCATAATAAATTAAATTTGAGCTATTCTATCCAGGAAATCCACTGCGATAAATTAATCACTTTAATAAGGGCATGGTGTCTTCAAATTTACCCATTTCTGATGGCATATAAACTGATACCAATATTTTGTCAGGCTACTCCCTTTTGTACGTCTGAGGTGAGAAACTGCTGAAACTGTTGCACCAGCTGACGGGCAGAGGGTTTGCCTGCACAGCTGCAGAGACTGCCACTGGACTTTGATGCAACCTCCCTCTTCTGTGTGTTTATTTGCTCTCCTCACAAGTACCAACTCCACGAAGAAAACCATTATTGTTGTAGTTAAAACATCAAAGGGTAATGCACGTGGAACAACAAGCACAGCAATAACATTAATCTAACATCTGGTATATTTGAATGACAAAGAACAACTGTTTAGGAGAAGGCCTTCCTTTGCATAATCTCAACTTTGCTGTGTCTTACTCATATCATTCAAATGAACAGGGCGAAGCAAGGAAACACATCCTATCCATTTCTGTTCATTCTGGTATTTTTCAGGAGGGAATGGTGAGGAAATAAGAATGAAAGTGATGAGTGAGAGTCGAAGTTTAAGATGGAAACAGCTGAATTGATGGTTTCTAATGTTCTAGACATGTCGGTATCCTGGCCACCACCCAGCAGTTTTTGGCAAGGTGTGAGCCAATCTGTAACAAGAGACAGTCTCTTATTGTCTGGGATACTGAGGCCTACGGTCAGATGGCAAAAAATGTGTATGTAGGGGTCCAAGAAAACCTGGGGTTAGCTTACACTCAAACAATAATCTGAGCCCTTATAAAACAGGGTCCCACTGGTAGAAATTTGTGGGAAAAGCACCTTTAACACCAAAGAATGCCCACAGGACCAGAGCCCAGGCTGGTAGGAAGCTGTCCTCTCAGTGCGTCGTTTGTTATCTCAAGCTTGTTCTTTGTTCCCTCTGACTGTGTGAATGATTGGAGGAATCGCTGCGATTCTGTGAAATAGTGCCTTACTCTGTGAGAAAGGAGAACTTCAATAGCTAAAACCCGCAGGCACAGGAGAGCCCAGAGAGTTTTTCAAGAGTAGGCCCCATCTATAAAAACACACACTGCGCACACGCACGCGCGCGCGCACACACACAATACACATGCTGTGGAGAAGAGTTCTTGACTATTATTTACCATATCTAAATTAGACTGGTCTTCTTAATGCAGATCATTTACACACAAGAACGACAAAAAAAAGAACAGGTTTGATTTTTGGTTTAAGTATTTTCTACTTATACATCTACCATGTTTAATTTTGTACTTCATTTCTGTTTCATTGAATGTGTGAAATGCACTTATACATAGCTTGTAGACACAATAACTGAAGGTGTTGGTTCAACTGCAAGTAAACTTACAGGGCGTGATTTGGATGAGATGATGTTAAGATAATTAATAAACTGCATGTGACTCCTGAAATATGTAATAAATACGATGATTCATGTTCTTCAGTATGTCGGAACTTATTTGTCATATAATGTTGTCGTCAACGTTCTGGTCTTCTGTTCAAACAGAGATTGAAAAATTTCTTGGCATTAGAACAGTAATGGATCCAAAACGCTGTATTCTTGGTGTTGGTGCCTTGACTGGTCAAAAGGCTAAATTGCTAAGTATCATGTTGTATGCTGCACCCCTTTCAATCCTGCAGATTTGGCTGGAATCCTATCCACCTACGTTTTCAATGTGGTATAATAAATTAGGCGAGGCAAGGCAGATTTAGTTCTCCAGTGTATTGCAAGGAACCATAGATGAATGTGTAAAGAGTGGCCAGCAATAATTTGTATATATATATATATATTTTTTTTTTTGGTTTTGTTTAGTGAGGGGATTTTGATTGGTTGTCTGTTTTGTTTTGTATATGTGTTCATGCCGGGCAGCAGTATAAGAATGGTGTGTATTTAATTTTTCTGATGTGTGTATCTTGCTCTCCCGACATGTTCTGTCGTGTTGTTTCAAAATAAAGAAGAAGAAAAAAAAAATTAGTGGGGAAAATACCCAGAAAAAGACTTAAATGCAACATTAAAAAATGTGAAATATTGGTCAGGCAGTCAATTAGTCAGTTCAGCACTTCGGTCCAGAGTGAACTACCTCAACAACTGCATGGATTGCCATGATGATTTTTGTATAGTTTGTGTTTAGTGGTAATTAGCAAATGTTAGCGTAGTAATATGCCTAACTAAGATTGTGAACATGGTAAACATTACACCTCTTCTGCTGCTTAACATCTGCATTTTGAGTTAGCATTTAGCTCAAAACACCTCAATACAGCCTCCAGCCGAGCTGCTGGTGTGGCTGTAAACTCTTGTTATGACATAACACATATCAGGTGTATGCTGGTTTAGTAGATGCAACATAATAGAATCCAGTTCAGGTTATAGGGTAAAAAGGTAAAAGTGACTCAGACAAAAGCTCATATTTCCCCCAGTTTCTAATGCTGCTCTAAGCTTGATCGCAAAGCCAAAGGTGGTCACTCTTGCCCTACAGTGAAATGTGCTAAACCTGGTTAGATGATGTTAGTGCATGGTGATGTACCTGATAAAAGGCACGCAGCACAAGCAGGGAAGGAGATATGTCCATCATGTGACCTCTAAAACTGGGACATGGAAAAAAACAAACATTGTTGGACAACAAAACTTTGCTGTCTCAGGTATCATGAGAACAACAGGTGAGACGCAGGGAGACTGATGATAGAGAAATTAGAAAGGTGAAGACAGAGAGGAAACTTAATACCCCATCTTAATGTGTCAATCCAGTAACACCATTTTGTTTCTACCGTTTGTTATGCAGCAGGATCAAAGTGCAATATAAAAAGGCATTCACTGACTGCAGGCTGTTATCCCTGCAGCCCAGAAGTGACAGGAAGGCCACTAAACCCTGTCTGATCTTGTAGAGCCTAATGTGACCAGGAGAGGCCTCCCAAAATTATTTACGGATTTACACTGTGTAATCAGACTCACATGGTCTGCCTACCACCACGCTCCTGTGTCTGTTACAGCCTGCCTTTGAATACCAACCTGTCTGCATGTTTAGATGGACTTTTAATCTTAATGTAGTCTGAATGAATCGCAATTACTCAATTACTAATTTCATTATTAGTATAAATGTTGATTACTAATCATTTACTGTCCTTTTCCTTTCAACATCTGTGTGCTGTTCAACATCTTAGTATTTTTTCCTCAAATCAAACTTTGCATATTTTGCACAGCAGATGGTGGATTGGATGGGATCACATTCAAACCTAGAATCTTGGGCAGAATTATTTTACTGTAGTTTGTATGAATGATGAGATATACTGTCATTATCCACAAAGACTACAGCATTATAGACGCTACACTTATATTATATTATAATTATAACTGCAGATTACAAACAAGTGGTTTATAAAGGACAAGATTAACATGTGTTTCATGAACCAGCAATTTTTTATATGTTTCAATTTTGCTTTTAATTTTAGATAATTATGCCGTTATACTGTAATGTAAAATGTTTTCATGTATTATGTTGCTGTCAATGGTTGTCACAGGAAGAGACATTCCATAGTATGGACAAAAAATGTAATTTTATCCATTTTACCTTAACAATCCACCATTACATTACTTAACATTACAATCCTGCACACCCACAATGTCTCAGTGACATACAGTGTGTGCAGGGAATCCTAAACAAATCAAACTTCCTGTGACTTCCGGTCTGATCCCTCACCTTATTTGAACTATGTTTCAGGCACTGAACCATCATCAGTCAAGCTTTTAAGTTTACAACCAATACCCATTAGCGTGCTTGCTCATATGTTCCTGAGCCATCAGTCTGTTGAACGAGAGCATCCATTCTAAAACTGGACCTCAAACAACCTTTAGTAAAGGCTCTGATCAAATTCTTAAACTTTAGTTACGAGTTTCTTAGCCCTGCCAGCAATGGCATAAGTAGTTATTATTGTAGTTATAATCTCCTACATGTGTTATCTGTAATCCGATTATACTGTCAATACCAGGTGCAACACTTTAGCCTTTAATGATTCATTTCTTTGTTAGTTGAATCTGACTGCCTGCAGCAATATTGCAAGTATATTTGCAAAGCATCTGTCCAGCCTTTCCAGAACAAGTTATGCACAAAGCTTCGTCTGAACGAGGCATCCATTTAAGGGAAACTTGTTTAAACCGCATGTGTTGGAAAGCTGTTTTTGTGTCACACATGGTTTGGCTTTAAATCTTTAACTTTGGACCTCCTCTTCTTCACAACACAGCAGCAGGAACATGTGCACTATGAAATGCTGACAGGGGGAGTGTTTTGTACCCATAGGTGATGTATTTTAATAGTGTCTGGCAGGGTTCAGTTAGTATCAGTTATGTGTTTAATTTAACAATAAGATCTACAGTAATGTTTGGTTTTACATTCTTGTTAACCTTTATATT